CGCTCGTATCCTCGTTTGGTCCTTGATCCTCGTGTGGAATATGGCTTTCGCTCGGCGAGTGCCGCTACTGAAGCGAAAGACGCGACCTCTCGATCGTTATGCGTCTACGTAATCGGGCCCTCAACCACTACAAAAGCCGAGCTTGACAAACATAATGCTCTCCGAGCTCACTTCTTGGTACTTTAAGGAATACTAATGAATTGGTACCGCGCTCCACTTTACGCTCAAAGAGGATGCGCTCCCGTACTCTCGATGCGGACGATTCCAGCGGTGCTCGCCCATGGCAAAAATGACAAAGGGCTCTTTGAGCGATGGGTACGGCAGCACCAAAAACTTTCTTTGCTGTCAACTTACAGCGGAGATACAAGGAGGTGGATGTGCTCGTGAATCGCCATTTTAGATTCGAGTTTGCCAAACTCAAGGCACAACGCCGACTTCCTACGTATTATCGCCCTGCGACGTATGAAATAATCCATCACGCTCTTACGAGCTCTGTGGTTTCTCATACGGGTGAGTCTACGACCACAGCAGCTCAAGGCCATAGCTTGAGCTCAGCACATGGCCCTCCGGCTTCCCGGGCTACTACCGAGAAGCGCGGGGCGTACGAAGACGCGGAGCGTCATGATCCCCCCTGATGATAAGTGTCCACGGCGTCTGGGCAGTTTTTCCGAAGTGACATCTCAGACTCCATGAGTTCTTGGCGTTTGGGTATCCTCGTCACTTTACAAGATATTGAGTTTGACCTTGTCGACCCTCAAGACGTTCCATGGATAGTGGACGTCGCCATTTTTTGACGGCTCGCGATGCTCTTCTAGCTTTGTAAAACAAACTCCGCCGCCATCAACACTCCATCGATCCTCTTTCCGAGTTCGCCTACCGCTGTGCGGTAGACCTCGAGAGCCTGGAGCACTTGGGACCGATAACCTCACGTTAAGGACTATCGAGCTCTGCTGGATCGGCTCCTGTCCTTCGAGCAAACGAAAGCGTCACTTCGTGCGACGGCGGAGCACCTGGAGCCGTCTAAAACGGAAATGGTTGCTCTCCGTGCTCAGAACAAGTTACTGGATAAGATTCCGGGTGGTCGAGCGCCTTCGGGCGCCGCCCTGGCGCCAACGCCTCCGCGTTCACTTGCGCCGGGTTCCAGTGCGGCTTAAACAAGCCCACATAAAACACCGGTTGGGTGCGCACCCTCCTCGGAAAGTTTAGCGTAAACACAAGGCCTCTGTTGGTCACGAACTTAAAAGGTCCAGTAAACCGTGGATAAAGCTTCGTTAAAGACTGCAAAAACTGCATGTGTTGGAAGGTTTTAGCGTTTGATAAAACCAGACCCTTGACCATAATGTTTTCAACAATTCCTCTTCCTTTTCCGTCTGCATATTCCTTCCGCATGTCTTGGCTTTCGTCATCGCATCGCGAACGTGTCGTAGGACACAGTCTGGCAGACAGGAAGTCATTGACTTTTTTACGCACAGTAATAGCGCTGACATCAGCTAGCTGCTCGGCTAATCCTCCCCCATCAAGCCCCGAGCCATGGCATAGCGATTCCAGTGGGACGCGAGGATTAATATGCCACATGTAGAACGGCGTATAGCCGATTAATGAATGCACTGCATCGTTCAGAAAAAAACTCTACGAGTGGCAACATAGCGCTCCAGCGTCTCGGCACAGACGTTGCGAAGGGCGTCCTCAACGACGATTCGCGCGCTCAGTTCGACCATCGGTCTGCGGATGGTCCGCTGCTGACATTGTCAACTTGGTGCCCAGCGCCTTGAAAATTGTTGGTCGAAACTCCCAATGAAGCGTGGGTCTCAGTCAGAGACAATTGACTCCATGAGTCCGTGTTGTCAAAAGACACGATTCACAAACAGCGTCGCTGTACCCACACCGTCGATGGTGTTCAACACTGCCGTAAAACGAGCCATTTTGCTCAAACGGTCCGCAATGTCCACCACACACATATTGCCCGTCGAGTCCTTTAGAAGGCCAACACTCATGATCTGCCAATACCCGGAGGGTATACTGGCCAGCGGCGCCGCCGCATTTGAAAATGGTTTCACCCTCTGACACGTCTCACACGCGCAGACATATGTGCTCGTCCACTTGTACAGCTTTGGCCACCAACTCACCGAGCTGTACGCCTTCTCACGACCGAGATGACCACTGAGTGGGGTGTCATGCGCTTCATAGAGGATAAGGTTTAAAAAATCTGATCGTGAGAATCTACAATTCGTGTCATATCCGTTAAATCGGTGCAAAAATACAGCCACCCGTTACTCAAAAAATATCGGTGTAACCATGCAAACGCGCCGACAATTTCTTGTCCGAGATTCCAAACCCACTTTCTCCTGAGAGCCTGTAGCAGCGCTACACACATACTATCACCCGCATATATGGCGCGGATCAAATCCGCCACTGACGACGTCAACTTCGTGACATGAGCATAGTCCGGTCTTCGTGATAACACATCAGCCAAAGCATTCTGCTTCCTGGTTTATACTTTACCTTGAAGTTATGATCCTGCAAAGAATGAGAGCCACCTGGTCATCCTCTGCGAAAGGTGAGGCGACTGAGTCGCAGTGCGTCAGGACGCGTGATCTGTGTAGATCACAAACGGCTTTGAGCCGAGTAGGTGTACCCTGAACTTGACAAGTGAATACTTCATCGCAAGTTATTCCTTGTCGTGGACTGGGTAACCCCTCTACAGCCATAAGCTGGCGAGATTTGAACGCGATCACCTGATTTCGCCCCTCGGCATCTGCCTGGAGCAGTACACAGCCGATGGCAAACTACAAAGCGTCACAGAAGACAATGCAAGAACGATCGAGGTCTGACAACGCCAGTATTGGTTCATGAAGGAGGTTGTCTTTGACCCTGTCAAAAGCCTCCCGATGCTCGGTGTCCCAACACCATTCCTTTTCCTTACTACGGTGATTGGACAATGGCCGTGCCATTTTCGCATAATTTGCGCCATACTTATGCAAGTGGTTGGCAAGGCCAAGCCACTTGCGCAAGTCCTTTTGGTTCTTTAAAACCGGCCAGTGCACAACGGCCTTAACCTTGGCGGAATCCGCTCGAAGGTCACGCTTCCCAATAAAGCACCACAAAGGGGATTTCTTCGGCGCCGAAGATGCACTTGTCTCCGTAAGCATACAGATTATTCGTGTGCATGCACCCGAGCACCGCTCTTAAATGGACGTAGTGGTTTTCCTCATCTGTCCTCACAACTGTGGACGAAGATGCCGTCGAAGTATGTTTGCGCATACGTCCGGTGGCGCCTGAACAACTGCGTCACAAGACGATTAAATGTTACCGGTGCATTTAACAACCCTTGGGACATCACCAACCACTACCAGAGCATGCCGCTTGGAGTATTCATTGTTGTCAGCGGAACATCGTTCGCTCTTATGAGCAAATGGTAATACCATCGACCAAGTCGAGTGCACTGTACTTTTTATAGCCAACCATAATGTTCTGGAGAACATACTTTCTAAAAATCGGCGTCTACGCCGGAATGGTGGCGGCTTTTAGCTTATTAAAAGCATGAACGATACGCCACTTGCCGTTCGGCTTCCAGACACAAAACGTGGGCGTTGAATGGGTAGTCTTACGTTCACGCACCATTTCTACGTCGTGCTCTGCAGATTAAAAGGCGCCAATTACGTCTCACTGTTCCGTTGGTAGGGGCCATCGGTGTGTTACGCAGTATTTGGTTCCCGGAACTAGGTCGATCTCAGTGGGTTACATGCCACTCCACGTTCAGCGCGCGAGCCATGCTCCGGACTCTTGTACAATACACCTTCGGTGTTCGACTGCTCGGATACTCCGATCTCCAGCACATTGAGCGTACCGGTCCGAAGACCACGCCAATAGCTCTTCTGCCACATTGCAGAGGTGGACTCATGACTCACCAAAGCTCCACCAGGAGACGTGGTCGTAGAGCCCAAGGTT